AAAGGCGTTTTCCGTGCTTCTGTACCTAGTGGTGCTTCTTCTGGAATGTAGGCCATTTTGATTCCTTCTTTTCTTTAAAGTGAATTTTGTCTCTCTTTTTGTTTGTGAGTAATAATTTTTCATGCCTGAACACTTTCCGCAAAATTGATTTTTTGTTGAACTCAAGTAAATTTGATTAATGGACTAGGGTTCAATCCAAATAAGTTGGAGTTTTCTATATGAACTGGTGGTGTCTGAGTCAACTTGCATGCACCTCGACTAATTCATAATACGACCTGTCTAACACAAGTTGCAAAAGTACTAATTCAGCAATATCGAGATTGAAATGAAATTCTAGTTAGATCTCGGCCGCTTAATCTTACTCACCAAGGTTGGAGCAGTTGGGTTCACACAAAGTGTTGTAGTTAATATTCGTATATGAGATCTCCACATTGTTTCTCCTATGCCTCAACCACTAGTCCTTTCCCTTGGGGACTTGACTCTATGAATCATCTATATCTGTTCTGTTATATTTAGGTCCAGTACTTCATTCCAAGGTAACTCAAGTCATCTGTGAACCAAAAATCACCAGATGGAGGGAAATGTTCTTTTCTTGATAACAATTGTTTGGTGTGTGCAAATGACCTTTTTTAATTTTTAAAAATATTTTTGATGCGTGCAAAGACCATTTTTATTTTATGAATAATTGTTTGCGGTGAAGCTCCTTTGCTCTTTCTTTTTTAACAATTTTCTGTGATTCATGCAAGAGCCTTTTATTCCCCTGTTCATCTTTGCTAGATGGTTTTTATACATGTGACAGAAATGAACAGGGCTCTAGGTACTTTCTAGTCTTAAGTCAGAATTCAGATTGTGATTCGCTGTGTATATCTCATTCTACTACCCAATAAGAGTGACCTGTTAAAAGCAAAAAAATTAGTAGAGGTTGGAAGTGCAACAGTGAAAATGCAAACTAATTTTCCAGCCTCTCTAAGTGATTTTTTTATTTTTGGAGCTAGTTGCAGACTTGTGCTTGAGCATTTACTTAGCCGTTGCAATTTATATTGGAGAATAAAGCAAATGGTGTAATGGTGGTATTTTGTTCTAAAATATCAGGTATGAGGCTATTGAACTGCGTGACGGAGAAAAAGGAACTTATCTTGGCAATGGTGTGAATAGAGCTGTCAAGAATATTAATGAGAAAATTTCAGTTGCGTTGGTTGGTATGGATCCAACTCTTCAATCTCAGATTGATCAGGTCATGATAGACTTGGACAAAACAGAAAACAAGGTACTTTTGCTTCTCTGAGTACAAATGTTCAAACGATTAGGTACTTATTTCGTTTAGCTCGCCATCTGAGTCAGAATGCCTCTGCATATTTCGATTACCTGCATAGTTTATGAATGTGGAACTTAGTACTTAAATGCTACTTTGGACTACCTGCATAGTTTATGAATGTGGAACTTAGTACTTAAACTTGCCATCTTGCAACACACTTGGAGTTCTGGACTTCATGGATTGCAGGAAAGTCTTAAACAAGAGTTGCTATCTTGAAAGATAAATTTTGTGGACCCTTGAGTTGGAGTGTTTTACCTACAGGCAATTGAAGTTTTCCCTATCTTTGAAATTCTCTTCCATTATATCCATTTGTTTGGTTCTGTCAAAGGAGTTTATTTTCTTGTAGTGTTCCATCTAAATTAGCGAACATAATATGAGCAATACAACTTTGGTATCCTTTTTCTATGGAATGTAGTTGATTAGTCTCCCTTGAGCGCGTGTATGCATATCTTTCCATCCTCTTTCTTTTAGTTTTATCGTTTTTTTGTCCGCATATGCTATGGTTAAGGAAATATCTATCACTGGCTTTAGAAAAGTAGCTCTATCATTCGACTTTAAGCATATCTTCTTTCCACCCACCATTCTTGTGATGTGTACTAGAAAGTATTTTCTTGCAATGAGGATTGTAATTGACCTGCTCTTGAGTTCCTCATTTGTTCAATGCCTGCGAATTTAATAATTTTCCATTTTTTGGACATAATAGCTTTCATGCTCACTGACCTTCTCCTTTGTCCAATGTGATAGAGTGAACTTGGAGCAAATGCTATTTTAGCTGTCTCAATAGCTGCTTGCAAAGCTGGAGCTGCTGAAAAAGAGGCAAGCATACTTCCTCAGTTTTATACCTAAACCCATAATCTTCACCGGACTAGGTAGCTTATCTCTCGATGAACTTCAGGTTCCACTTTACAAACACATTGCTGATCTTTCTGGTCAAACAAGCGTGCTTCTTCCTATTCCAGTCTTTACTCTCGTAACTGGAGGAAAACATGCTGGAAATAATTTGGCTATTCAGGTGAACCTGCAGTCTTTACTTGTATATTTTAAGACCTGCACAATGCTTGCTCACAAGTTCTTCATAGTGGTGGTGACTCATTATTTGTGAAGTAGTGCCTACTTCCTAGAAGAAGAAGCTGGTGACGTGCTATTTGTTCATCAAGTTTCGTTGAAAAAATTATAAATTGGGGTTTGGGTTAATGTCATTGACATGCTCTCTTTTTCTTTGATTCTCTCACCAGCCCACCAAGGATTTTCTTTTTGTTTTTCTTGGTTTTGCACTTGCATCAATTTTTTGACATGTAGAAGTTTTGTGACATTTGCAGAAGAGAGTTAAGGATATATAAATTACTTTTGTTGTCTGATTTAAAGAATAACTTTAGTCACTTCCAATGACCAAAAGTAACTTTAGATGAAGAGACCTATTTTCACTTGGAATGGTGGATCCAAATCTATTACCTAATGCGTTTCCCACTTTTGCTTTTGTGCTCTTCAGAGATGTTTCTTTGAGCTACTTTTGCCACTATGTTCCATCACTTTCTTCAACATTTTGATCATCTTGATATGACACCACTATTTTGAGCTCATAATGTTTTTGTGCTAAATTGTAAATCATATCTGAAAAGTGATATTAAACTTCCGCAGGAGATAATGATTCTGCCAGTGGGATCAAAGACATTTGAGGAGGCTTTACAAATTGGTTCTGAGACCTATCATCATTTGAAGGTGAATTCATTCAACTAGAATATTTTCTAACTCTATTATCGGATAGTCTCTATCTGCCACGTGAAGGAAGTTTGAACTGCTCTAACTGTTTATACAAACAACATATGTCTTATTAATCTTATGTCTTCTTACCCTTACCCCAGAATCCTTGAGTGTTTTCTCTTGTTCCTTTCTTAAGTGTTATTAATGGCTTAATACACTGTTCAAGTCAAGCTTACTTCTGATTCATATGAAAGAGAAAACATCCTTTGTTTGTTATGGATACACACTATTTTGCTGGAACAGCTGCTATCATCCATGAAGTTTTCTATTAATCCTGGAATAATGTGCAACAATTTGTGCATAATTTATATTAGCCCGAAGTATAATTTGCAGCCTGTACATGTTGCCATATTAGAAAACCTCCTTTGATATCCACATGTGATAGTGATACTACTTCGAAAAATGTAGAGTTGGTGCTGTACTGGTGTAGTGGTCCAATTTTTCTCATCGCCAATTAATACTCAGTTACAATGTCAATTTTTGTTGTAAAAGCATATTAACTAAATGCTATTTCTTAATACTAGTTTAAGTTTAAAGGTTTGGTATTAATAATCTTTGCTTACAATTGGAAAGAAACTTGAGATGCTTTCAAGGAGAGTCCACTTCCAATCCTAGACTCAAAGCAAATTGTCTTTTGAATCTTTTTTGCTGGAGCAAATAGAATGCTGTAAATGATGTAAATTTGTTACTTGACTTCATAAGCTCCTTAAAGTATGTCTTGGAGTTAATCCAGTTTTTTACTGTTTATTGTATCATGTTGTTGCAATCATCAATAGACTGCTTTACTTTATATATAAAAGGTCTTGCTTACAATTAAAAGGGCAGGTAGTGATTACAGAGAAATATGGTGCCCATGGATGTAATGTTGGTGAAGACGGTGGTTTTGCTCCCGACATCTCAAGGCAAGTTTTGATGTCTTTGTTTTATGCTTCTCAATGAAATTGTTGACCCTGGATACTGCATTTGCAGCTTAAGAGATGGCTTGGACCTTGTTCAGGAGGCTATTGGGAGAACAGGGTACAAGGAGAAAATAAAGATAGCTATTGGTGTTGCTGCGACTGAGTTTTGCATAGGTGATATATTCCCTTTAGTTCAAAATCTTGCTGATTGTAGATAAGTAGAATCATGTGATACTGTCATAGCTAGCTAGCAAAGTCGTCAGTTGATTTGCATTAATCTTTGCTCACATGCATGTAA